ATTTAAATAATTTCTATTTTTGCCTTATTGTAATTTCTTCATTTTTTTTTTACTAAAAGTTTGTAATTTTCTTATATCTAGAAAATGGTCAGTGATTTCGATCGTGCACCCAGGAAATAGAACATTTATGGGCATTTCTTGAAAGAATAAAGTGTAATCTTACGTCTTCATTTGCGTTTGTGGTGTTGATCACAATCACCAAAGCAAAGAAAAATATCAATAATTTCGCCATCCTGTTAAAAATGAGAAAAAAGCTCACAATGAGATAAAATAATCATGGATTAAGTTTGACTTCTATCTGTAAAAAATTGTACTTTTGCTTTGAAAGTTTTTTTAGAGTAAAGTGGTCAGTGTTATTTTTCAGTGTCGTTTTATTTGATTCAAAGATGAAGTTAGTAGTAGTTCATTTAGTATTGTTTTTATGAAACATATTAGAGTTAAAAGAAAACTTGCCAATACAAAAATATTTGGTTCAATAGAAAATAATTGAAATGGAAAATATCTGTTTTACCTTTGTAAATGAATTTCCAACTCGATACTGAACAATTTCTGCACCTCAATATGCGTTCTTATTTAATTCGCGTGATGTTTGCTCATTATCGGCAATGCTCACTGTTTGTATAAAATGTAAATAAAATAAAACGAATTACATACTTGGGTGGATCGATTTTGAAGAAAAAGCCCGATCTATCCGGAACATGCTGCTATCGATAGAGGGCCTCAATACGAACAACTTTTGTTCGGGGACGTAAGGTGGAAAGGGCAAACTGGGATTGCCCCTGTTGATTTTCTGAGAGGAGTTTTTTCTTTATTTTTTAGGGTGTAACTCAGTCAGTATAGGTGATAGCATCATATTGTCTTCAGCAAAGTTATAGCTAGGAATCCCATAAACAAATTTAGCACAAAACATTGCTACAAAAATCCCATCTGGTTGGCGTTTGGCCTCAAAATGTCGAAAAAAGATTTTCGATATTTTCAATTTTTCATCCATAAATAGCTTAGTATTTAGGTTTTTTGGCCACTGTCTGTGACATTATTGTAGCCAATACATAATTTAATAAATCTTCTGAACATATCAACTCAAATAAGTCTTATCTGGGGTGTGTTTTGAAAGAAAATTTCGAAAAATATCGATTTTCTCCACATTCTCTTTTTGCCAAATTTTTGGGAAAGTAGGTGTTCGGTTGTTCGAAGACTCCCATTATTTTTGCAAAAAAAAAACATAAGTTTGCTTGGACCAAAACCCTGCAAAATGCTTTTTTCGGGTACTTCCCATACAAAAGTGTCATTTTTCAAGGTTTTTCAGGTCCTCAATCGGAGGCTTATACAGTACGAAATTGGTAAGTCAGAACGGGCTCAAAATCAATCCGAAGCTTCATCTTGACATGCCAAAACTTCTGGCTCTCACAGATCTCAATTATCTTGTGGCTTTTTGGAGATATCCGGCGAACAAAAAACGCGAACAAAAAACGCGAACGCGAACGCGGACGACGCCATACGCACATCGCAATTTTGAGCATTTTTCATAGTAAACAAAGTATTTTTGGATGCAGATAGGTCTTCATCGATAGATATTGTTCCCATCTACATTGCCTATTGTACAGATATGTGCTTTTTGAAGTTTGGCGCGACGTTATAGTGGTCCGAAAGAGGAGATGTCATTAAATTTTGGCTAGTAAAACCAATACTTTTCCTTAACAAACAAAGTTTGCGGAAAAGTAAAATTACACGAGAACTACACATTCCGTGATCAAACATCATGTACACGGTGTGACAACCAATTCGAACCCATTTATAGATACTACTGTGTCCAAAAAGTAAGGTGACATTGCATTTATTTTGAAAATTCTTTATTTATTCTTCCAAATCAATTTCATCGCCTTCAAAGTAATCCCCTCCCGATACAATGCACTTATGCCAACGGATTTTCCAATCTTCGAAACAGTTGAAAAAGTCGACTTCAGGGATGGCCCTCAGCTCCGTCTTCGCTGCGGCTTCAATCTGCTCTATCGTCTCAAAACGGTGTCCCCGGAGCGGTCTTTTGAGCTTGTTGAACAGCCAGAAGTCGCACGGTGCCAAATCAGGTGAATACGGTGGTTGTGGAACGATATGAGTCCAGTTTTTGGCGAAATGTTCACGAAGAATGATCGCATTGTGAGACGATGCATTATCATGGTGCAAAAACCAAGAGTTGTCTTTCCACAATTCCGGCCTCTTTTGGCGGATAGCGTTACGCAAACGACGCATAACACTCAAATAATATTCCTTGTTGACTGTTTGACCCGGGGGAAGGAACTCATAATGCACAACACCCCGATAATCGAAGAAAACAGTCAACATGACCTTGATTTTTGAGCGACTTTGGCGCGGTTTTTTTGGTCTCGGCTCACCTTTGGCACGATATTCGCTCGATTGGTCGGTTGTTTCCGGGTCGTAAGCATAGATCCAAGTCTCGTCTCCAGTGATCATGCATTTCGTCTTGTCAATGTAGTCAGAAAGCATTGTTTCACACACGTCAACTCGACACCTTTTTTCCAAAAAATTCAATGATTTCGGTACCAGTCGAGATTTGACGCGTTTGAGGCCCAAAACATCCTTCAAAATGGTATTGACTGAGCCTTTCGATATGCCAATATCATCAGCAAGGTCTCTAATCGTTAATCGACGGTTTTCCAACACCAAATCTTTAATTTTTTGGACGTGAGCTTCGTCGGTTGAGGTTGATGGTCGCCCAGCACGCTCTTCGTCTTCGACACATTCACGGCCTGCTTGGAACTCACTATACCACTTGTAAACATTTTTTTTCGACATAGCCTCATCACCAAAGGCTTTCTGCACCATCCTCAACGAATCCGCAGCAGAAAATTGATTCCGCAAACAAAATTTAATGCAAATTCTTTGATCAACAAATTTCGACATCGCAAAAAACGAGAAATTCACTTTTAGCAGTCCACAAAACGAAGCGTATCTCAAACACTAATGAATATTTTGACGTGTAATTTGGCAGGGATGTCAAAGACAGTCCTACCAACCTAAAAATAAAAGGATTTTTTCAAATTCCCCAGCGCGCTAAATTTTAAATGCAATGTCACCTTACTTTTTGGACACAGTAGTATTTACAAAAAAGAACAAAGTAATCCAGTCCTTGAAAATGCATTCTGATTACTTTCTAAACACCTTATCTATCAAATGGTCTCCGTGGGAGAGGATTCTAAAATAGTTTCAGAGCACAGTGACCTTTTTTCGGAATTTTCCATTCACCGGAAAACTATTTGTTTTTATTGGACCAAAAAGGACTTTGTTGCCACACCTTACCTGAAAAATGAAATAACATGTGTTTTGAGAAATAACTAAACTTGACAGGCACAGCGCCTTTTTTCACTCCTCTGCAGACGTGTGCAAGGTCAAAATTCCCAAAAATTTTGTCAATGGGTGTCGAAAAAAAAGTAAAGACCTAAAAAAAAGTTCCTCACTTTTGAAAATCGATTCTATCTAGTGTAAAACAGTCAAAATCGCCCTCCTTGCACACGTCTGCTCCTCTGGCACCCTTGTGCAAATTTTATATGTGCGTCCCCAGAAATGAACTATTATTTCAATTTTTGAGCCCCAGGGGCGCCATTGTTCATTACACAACTTCGTGTCAGGGTAGAAAAGTCTCTGCGCGAGAGCGCCAAAAGTGCTTGGGCGCTCATGTAGAAAAGAAAATGTTTCAGCAAAATTTCATAATCAAAGCGAGCAGAAAATGCGCTCCAGCGCTCTATGCAAACAATTAAAATAGGGCGCAAGCGTCCAGAGCGCAAAAATTTGGAAGCTCACGAAAAGGCTTGTGTTTTAGCTCCCGAATTGTTGCGCTCTTTGGACGCTAGCGCCCTCGTACATTGCACGACCTCGCACATAGGGAAAAAAGGCCCTGGACAGGCATGCATGAGGCATTTAATATAGTTCTTGATTGACGTCAATAGAAAATACTAAAATTCCAGAATACGTTGAAATGATGACTCGATGTGGTCGAGTGTTTGTTCAAATATCCAAATTTTTTATACCAAATATCTATGAAGATTCTTATAAATTAATGCATGAATATTTTTAATTAATAGACAAGCAGTGTTGATTCGAAATATTCCTTTTATTTATTTACAAATGATATAACGATTTCGAGTTGGATACAAAACCTTACTGCAGTAGCGTTTTAAACTTGTTGCAGGTGACCGTTGTTCATACATCTCGTGTTAATTTGTATTTATTTACAAATATTTTCTCCTTCTAATTTGTTTGCTTTGTTTTTATATGCGGGATTATCTGTGACTTAAGACGTAAAATATTCCGTTGTCTCGTTATCATCACAGCAGTAACATATCAGCTTTAAAGATTTTTTGCTGTATATACGCAATTGTCTATTTTGATTTTTCTTTTTTTTGAAATGCATTTGTGACGCATATCATTATCAGTTGAGATTAGACAGCGCAGGCTCCCCCTTCGATCGGCAAGAGGTGTCCATTTATGAAAGACGATTTGTCGCTAAGCAAGAACAGAATTGGATCGGTGACCTCATTTAATTCAGCAAAACGATGCAATGGAATTTTACTCTTCATCATTTCCGATCTGGATGGCTCACTCCAATATGTTCTACTCATATCCGTCATCACCACCGTTGGATTTACGCTATTAACTCGGATATTTCGAGGTGCCAATTCAAGAGCGAAGCCGCGTGTAAATGCATCTACAGCTGCTTTTGACGCTGAGTAGATTGTGTGATTTGGGAGTGCGCGTAAGCCAGCCAATGAAGATAAGTTTACGATACTACCTCCATCGTTGATATTCGGCAGCAGGGCCTGGATTACGTTAAAAATGGCCTTAACATTGATATTCATAGTGCTGTGAATAGAAGAAACCATTTTCATTTTTATGAAGTAATACGATTTGCATAAACATTTTTAGAATATTAACTCACTCATCGAAATCTTTTTCGGTGAGTTCAGCGATTGGTCTACTTATTCCAACACCGGCATTATTTACCAGTCCGTCTATTTTAACATTTTTAAAGTGCTTTTCAATCTCCGTTCGTGATGCTGACCAGTTGCTCAAATCAATTGGTACAG